CTGAAGTCTGTTGCTTCATTTATTTTAGACTCAGGATTCTTTTCATTGCTGATTCGGAAATAGTGAAAGGCCACCGATAAACAATACCTCATATAGGAATAGCCTTCAGGAGGCTTCAAAGCCTTCTATGTTTTAAAAAATTTTAACTATAAAATGAGAATATGAGGTAATTGCTTTTATGCAAATTTCAGAGACAACATGAGCAAGCTCCCTGACAGACAGAAGCTGGACATCCTGGTTCCCTGACTGCTCCCGCACATGCCCTCTGTACCCTGCTGGTTTCCACCTGGCCACCCTCCAGTGTGTCTCCCAGAGGAAGGCATGCCAAATTCCTGACACATGGCGTTTGAAAATACCATGGAACGTTTCCACTCGTGGATTTCACCATGTTCTCCAATGAGTATTTCAGCAAGCTAAAAATGTGACTCCTCAGTCATGAGAACACCACATCCACATGATTCGGGAAGAGCAATAATGCTGGAACTTTGATCTAATTATCAGCAAGTGCTCTTCCAGGAGATTAAATGTCTTAGAATATTTTATAATTTGCTTAGCAGGTATTTATCCTTTAGTGAAAACCAGTGGTCTTTGTCAGCAAAAGATGCTGACAAGTCATTTACATGGCTAAGTGGTCATTCTTGCTGGCCCGATAAAAGCCCATTTTTAGGAAGATTAAACCTGAGCCTCTTATAAAACATCAGTTAGCTCAGATAATGGTAACAATATAGCTATTTATACTCTGGGTTTTTATTTCCAAGCCTTGTGTTTCAACTTCACATCAGGCAGTTTTAAATGAATTAATCCCTCTGTAAGCTTTTGAATGGAAAAGCCAAAGTAGAGAGAAGCGTATTGTCTTAGATCATTTTACAAATCCAAACATACTTTTAAAAATCAAATCGTCTTCCTTGTGTTAAGAACAAAACCCAAGTGCCTGATCAGCTACTTCGTTTTCACGAGGCGGAAATACAGTTATGCTGCTGGTGTTGGGGAGGCAGAGAATTTCCTCAACCATCCATGAAGAAAGATAAGCGGGGCCTTTTCCACTGGCTGTCTAATCTTATAAAGATCTCATGGAAATTTGGTGGACACAGAGCACAGTTCTTTATCCTTGAAGAACATTTTCCAAAGCACAGATGTTTTTCTCTTAATTATGAATGCCGGCTCACTTGTCAGCAGATGGTACGATTTGGGACTGGCTTGTTCCTTATAATGGGCTGATGTTCTTTGCTACGTGGAAAACACATCTTTGGCTAGACAGCAATGAATCAATTATTACACAAAAAAAGTTTCCATTTCTGGAATTTCCCTGAGATAAAAATATCTTTCTGGTTTTGGGTATACCTAAGTGACCGTGAGGACACTTAGTAAAAGAAAAAATGGATTTTCAATACTTCATGGTGATGGTGATTATATGGGATTTTAAGTACTTAAAGATTTTCCTGTTGTATCATTTTGGAAACAAAAAGTTGACTCATGTTCTGGTTAATGCTTCAATATTTTCATTACGGAGTTTCTATAAAGTCTTTATCTGAATCACAGAAAATATGATTACTTCAGAGGTAGGATAAAATTTTGTCATAAACAGCACCGTGTACTAAAACCTGCTATGAGCTTAACAAATCACATAGAAGTTTAATGCTCAGGAATGCAATATATCAAGTAAAACACTAAAAAGTTCAGCTAGATAATGCAAGTGTGAAAATGCAAGAGTGACTAAGAATTTTAAATACTATCATTCCTATTGACATGCTAAATAAGTTTTTGTTGGAGTATTTTAATTTCCTAGCACTTGAATAGCACCTTTTTCTACGAATATTTCATCATTTGGATAAACATATTCTTTTATTTACCATTTGTCAGGTTTTGTATGCTAAATTGCAACTGCTTATATACTCTCATTTATCTCAAGGATAAATTAAAATTCTTAGTAATAATCCAACTGACTTGTACAAATCACAAAAAGTACTAATTTAAGCCTTTGGGGGCTTAAAAATTTTTCTGTGTGTGTATTCACATGGTGGGAGAAAAAGAACTTTCCAAATAATTGTGAATGAGATACTGTTATATAAGAGTTTATAAAGCAATATTTCGGTATGACTGAAGTTCCTAACTCATGCTATACATTTTTTTTTTTTTTGCCCAGGCTGGAGTGCAATGGTGTGATCTCGCTCACTGCAACCTCTGCCTCCCAGGTTCAAGCAATTCTCCTGCCTCATCCTCCTGAGTAGCTGGGATTACAGATGTCTGCCACTACATCCAGCTAATTTTTTGTACTGTTACTAGGAACAAGGTTTCACCACATTGGCCAGGCTGGTCTTGAACTCCTGACCTCCAGAGATCCAACCACCTTGGCCTCCCAAAGTGCTGGGATTATAGGCGTGAGCCATCACATCCGCCCCATGCTTTACTTTTAAACTAAGTTTGAGTTTTACATGAAAAGCTTAATAATCAGAAAAAGGCTATTTTTTAACTTACTTGCTCAAATACTTTGAGCCTCCAAATCTGGAAAACAATGTTGAAGTCTGAAACCACTGTCATGCCTATGCTGGGAAGCACAGTACTGAACTGCTGCTTCCTTGTCTGTCTTGGTGAATGCATATGAAGTGCCTTGTAGTCCTCTGAACCCACCGCCACTAGGGACTGCTGTAGGGGAGGAGCTCCCTGCACCTCAGAAGTCAATGTTCAAAGTCATCGTGAGCATGAAAGTGACGTTCCACAAGGGACAGAAAGATGAGCCACAAGATGCCCCCAAAGTAGGAGTCATGTTGAAAACTTTCAAAAATGTCTTGTACAAAATCTACCCAGATCTTCAGAGAACAGGCCAGACCTATAGTGACATAGGTACTGCCTAAAATGTCACTATATGAGGAAACATTTCAGCAGCATACTGCCCACACTTATCTGAGCCAAGGATGTTCCTAGAATTGCCTTCAGCCATACCATCTTCAAGTGAAAATAAGGTTTTATACCTATTCTGTGTGACCTCAGGAAATTCCTTCTCTTGCCTTAGTTTCCTTATCTATAAAATGGTGAAGATTGGGACAGGAATTAAATGAGTTAATGTGCCTGGCACATAATACAAACACTGTGTGAGTTGTCCATTAGTATTATCATCCACTCATAATTTTTGCACACCAGCCATCAGCACAAAATCAAATCAATTACAACACAACTTCCTTTCAAAATGTGAAGAGATACCATTTTATAAAAAGGTACATAGGACCCCCAAATTAGTCTTAACTTGGGTTAAATTTATCTGCCCTAAACACATGGGGATTCTTCCCAGCTCCCACATTCCTTGCCACCCTAAATGCTCAAGGGGAGTCCTACTGTATTAGAAATAACTTGCTAATCATGACTTTGGACCTGATCCTTCCAAGGCATGCTTTCCAGGCACAGGACTGGTAAGGAGATGGGTCCCCTCCGGAAAATGCCGAGAAATGGTAGCAAACAGGGTTACCTCCTTCAGTCTACTCCTCACTGCCTTCACTCTGTGGGAGATGAAGCGTTGCTCCCCCAATCCCATGCACATTTCATTGCTAGGCTGCTGGCACAACCCTATGATCCAGCATGTCCATAGATCCAGATTTCTCCCTTTGTATGTCTTCTCTCTCTGGTTGGTCCTGTCTATAGCTAGACAATGAGCAAGACGCATCCATCGACTGCCCAGGCCCTTCATTTCCCATGCCTCTGCTGAGTAAGAACTGCAGAAAGAACATATCCAGTCAGTAGTTCACACCCCATCACACTCTCAGCCTTCACATGTGAAAAAAACAGCTGCTCAAAGGCGGCTGCTGAATTCCATTTATAAGCCACTCAGCAAGTTACGAAGCTAGAGGGGTCATTTCTGTAGTCACTGTGTTATTATTGTTAGACATAGTGAACTCCAAGTTTCTCTTCAAAGAATCAGTATGTCAGTATGTTCAGTTCTTTGTCCTCCATATTAAAGTTTAACTTCCATGTAGTTTCAGTAAACAACCTTTTCCACCAGTTCTATTCATAACTGTTCTCCCAGTCCCCTGCTTTGTCCTGACTCATTCCAGTCACCTGCTTTGACCTAGGACACCCCTGGCTACTTGCTCTGACCTGCCTGTAGTCATCCTTCCTACCAAACTTCCCACCCTGCCACTCAGGCTCATACCCCTGCTCTCTCTAAAATAGCCAATCAGGATTAGTCTAGACTATGCAGTCTCACCCTAGCCAGTAGGGGAACAACACAGCAGCAGGGGCAACCTCTGTCAGGAATAAGTACCCCTTTCCGTTCCTTGTCCAAGTGTGCACTCACCATTGTTCCATCTGTAAGCTGCACCCTTCAATAGAAGTAAATTGCCTTGCTAAGGAAATTTATATTCAAGTTCTACTTCTCTTGTGGCACTGGAAATTTTACATATAACACTGCTACAGCATATACCGCCCAGCTACTGGCTCTAGGAAGTGAGAATGGTACTTTCAGTTCAAATCTTGGTGTCAGGATTTAATACCAAACAGGGAGACACTCTAAACCTTTGCTGCTTGTCTCAGCCAAGCAAATGAGGGTGTTAGAGAAACTGACCACCCCCTCTAGGCTGACATGGGTTAGAGCAGATCTCAACTTCTGGAATTTTCAGTTGTAGAACCTTTCCTGGTAAACTATTATTTTAATGTCAATATTCTGGGAGGCAGGCAAATTTAAGGCAAGAGAGTACACTAAATCATAGACACAGTGACTGGCTGAGCACAGTGGATCACACTTGTAACGCCAACACTTTGGGAGGCCGAGGTGGGCAGATCACTGGAGGTCAGGAGCCTGGCCAACATGGTGAAACCCCATCTTGAATAAAAATATAAAAATTAGCTGGGTGTTGTGGTGCATGCCTATAATCCCAGCTACTTGGGAGGCAGGGGCAGGAGAATCGCTTGAACCTGGGAGGCGGAGGTAGCAGTGAGCCAAAATCATGCCACTGCACTCTAGCCTAGGCAACAGAGCGAGACACTGTGTCAAAAAAAAATCATAGACACAGTGACAATGCAAATATTTATTGCTGGTGGCTGGGTCTGTCATTTCCTAGAGGACATAGCTGGCCAGCAGATTTTCATTTCTTTTTTACAAAATAAGCAAATGCCTACTTTATTATTTATACACAGAAAATTATATAGAAACATACAAACTGCTTGAAATGCAAATATTTTTTGGTTTACTCATCAAAGTAAAAAATAACAGAAAACCTTATCAGTTAAATAAAAAAGTGACATTCTTTATTTATCAAACCTTCTTAAACACTGAAATGCACTCATTTTTATGCTCATGTTCTTTAGCTATGTCTTTTCTCCCCTTTGCCCCTCATTCCCCTACATTGTTTTAATGAGTTCATCTGTAAGACGGTTGTTTTACCTTTCTTAATGCTACTTAATTTTTATTATCCCAATATCAAGACCAATCTAGATTTTTTGTCTCTTCCATGTGAAATGGATGTAAAAAATGGAGAATTCACTAGCACATTTTAAGATAACATAAAACAAGCCCTAGGCAAGCATTTCAAGGCAATGACACACCATTACATTTTTGAAAAGCTGAAGTATCATTGGTACTTAAAAGTAGAACTCAATTCCAGAAGCGCATTCTTATACTGGACATTATTCATAATAGCGAATAGAGTTCATTTCCACAGTACTGATTTCAGATAAGCCATTTTCTTTTTAACAAAACAAGCAGCCGTAGACATGAAAATTGGATTGTTTTAAAAGGAGCAATGATAGCAAGAGAAAGTTCCTGGCATTTTAAGAAAAGTACATATACATAGCAAGAAATGAAAGTAAATCAAAATACATAACTTTGTACATGTTAGAAATATCCAATGTGCCATCAACACAACAATTGCCCTATAAAAGAGTGTTCGGGTCTGGAGCCATATCTATTTTTCTTTGTATAACTACATATGCATTACCCAACCACACATCTCTCCCATGGTCTGTTACCCGTTAGGAAGCTTGTAACCAGAGTTTTTCGAAATATGCTTTTCTTCAAATAAAACAAGCCTTCAAATAAATCATTATGTCTGACAACTGAATTGGGCAAAGTCTTTCTGAAATACATGTAATGTTTAGAAAATTCTTTTTTCCTTCATAAATCAGCAGTGCTCCATCTTCAAATAAATCATGATCAGTCACAATCTTAACTCACGTGCTCATATGTTCTCTTCATCCAACATTTTGTTGATACCATCACATAGTTTTTGTAAGTGGGGTTTAAAATTCCCAAAAGGATTATACAAGGCAGCCAAAAATTCACAATCTGAAAAATGATCAAAGACATTATTAACCCGTCCATGTGACTTGGCGGTGAGGTGACGCTGAATGATTTGGTGTAGCATCTCTCTGCATTCATTTAACAGCTTGGATAACACATTCCGGTCAAAGGTATAATCCACCTGATGGAAACTGACCACGGTCATAGCAAGTTGATGAACTTTCTTCTTAAACTTCTCCATCAATGCTAGCTCATCTTGATTAAATTGATTATTCCGGTAAAGAATGGCCAGCTTGATGACTGTCTTGATGAGGTTCTTGATGATCTTCTCTGCCTCCTTCTTGTTTTGGGTGTACTCCCTGGTCACTCTGTAGAGCTCATCCAGCACCTCACTGCTCGTGTCGTCTATTAAGGTGGTGGCAATGGATTTGGACACCATTTTACCCAAGATCTTCTTCTGTGCCTGAACGGCCAGGTTTTTAGAATTAAAGACATCTGTGGCCACTAAAAAAAAGGGGGGGAGGAAAAGAAAATCAGTAAACATCAGCAGGAGAAGTGAACTAAAAACAGATATTAGGGAGCACTGTTTTTCTTTGTTTTCCCACCATTTGTGGTTTGTCTTCCATCTACTGACATTAGTCTCTGTTCAGAAAAGAATTTTAGGCTGGGCACAGTGGCTCACGCCAGTAATCGCAACATTTTGGGAGGCTGAGGTGGGCGGATAACTTGAGGTCAGAAGTTTGAGACCAGCCTGGCCAACATGGGTGCAGTGGTACATGGCTATAATCCCAGCTACTTGGGAGGCTGAGGCAGAAGAATTGCTTGAACCCAGGAGGTGGAGGTTGCAGTGAGCTGAGATTGCTCCACTGCACTTTAGCTTGGGTGACACAGTGAGACTACTGTCTCAAAACAAACAAACAAACAAAAAAAAACACAAAATCAGCTCTACACCTGTCATCTGGCAACAGCAACCAGAAGTGACTTAAAAGAAATTCATTTAAATGGAAGAATAAATGGTAAAGCCATAATATTGAATAAAATGGCAGACTCATGGAAGCAAATCAAAAGGAGAGCCTTGTTTTATAATGCAGTTGCAAAAAGTCAAATTTCTCAAGCATTGGCCAGTGCCCACCAATTTGCCTGTCCTAACCACCTTGAATTTCAACCTACAGAAGTTGTCTGTTAGAAAGAACTACTCCTTGGAGAGCTCACTGTCACTTGCTATTTCTGATGAATGGTCGTTGTTCACTTTACATTTTTATACGTTTTGGAGAAATAACCTTTTTCATCAGCTAATGAAATGTGCCACATGAGAAATATACTTTGAAAATGATGTTGCTTAGAGTTTACTTTTGGAATTATCGTAACTTCTGACATCTTTAAAATATACATAATAATGGTTGTACGTATCATATAAAAGAGACACTATATATAATCTTCCTAGCCTAGAGCTGGTTAGTGAAAATGCTCAATAAATGTTTATTCTCCAAACCAAGTTTACATTTTATCTACCACAATTTCCCCCACTCCATGCATGTGGTAATCTTTTTTGCTTTCTTTTTTTTTTTTTGAGACAGAGTTTTGCTCTTGTTCCCCCAGGCTGGAGTCCAATGGCACAATCTTGGCTCACTGCAACCTCCGCCTCCTGGGTTCAAGCGATTCTGTTGACTCAGCCTCCCGAGTATCTGGGATTACAGGTGTATATCACCATGCCCTGCTAATTTTGTATTTTTAGTAGAGATGAGGTTTCACCATGTTGGCCAGGCTGGTCTCAAACTCCTGACCTCAGGTGATCTGCCCACCTCAGCCTCCCAAAGTGCTGGGATTACAGGTATGAGCCACTGTGTCTGGCCCATGTAGCAATCTTTACTCCTCTACAACTATGCTTTCTCCTGCTTCTCCAGAGGCTTAAGAACTGCAGTTCTTTGGGTGTCTACTCCATCTCTGAGTCGAGGGACAACTGTTCTCTCCATACATGCCAGTGTTTAAGCCTAGGCCTGGGTGTTGGAAAGCAGTCATTTTGTAATGAAAGATAAAATGCTTAAAAATACAGATATATACAAATGAGTCAAGGCATCAATGATAATATAAGATTATTTCTAGTTTGGATAGGCGAGTATCATTAGGAAGCAAAAAGGCAGCTGCTTCAAAATCCAGGCTGGGAGGACATATAAGAAGAGTGACTCCCTTAATGCGGAACTGCCATGTTGGATTTAACACTGGGGAAAGGCTGGTGTGGTGGCTCACACCTACAATGCCAGCACTTTAGCAGGCCAAGGTGGGGAGAGGATCACTTATGCCCAGGAGTTGGAGACCAGCCTGGGAAACACAGCAAAACCCCACTGCAACAAAAAACTACAAAAAAAAAAAAAAATTAGCCAAGTGTGGTGGCATGCACCTATAGTCCCAGTTACTAGGGAGGTGTAGGTGGGAGAATCATCGGAGCCTGGAAAGTTCAGGCTACAGCGACCCATGACTACACCACTGCACTCTAGCCTGGGCAACAGGGTGAGACCCTGTCTCAGAAAAAAATTAAATTAAATAAAATTGAGTAAAAGAAGAACCAAATTAAATTTGAAAAATTTGGACCAAAGCAGTTCATGGTATATACAGGTAGCTCAAAATGGTTCCTTATGACTCGAGTGTCATTTATAAATATAGAGTGCCATACATCCTCTAAAAGAATGTCTCCATCAGATGAGAAAGGGTGTCTTCACAAATGTCGATATTTAAACTTCTGAAACATGAACTGAAACTGCAGAATAACTAAAATATTTTTTGAAAAAGAGAAGGAAAGTGAAAATGTGTGAGAAATGGCCAACTTCATGTAGAAGTTTCCAAGCTCTTTTATGTTTTTATCATTTAAGCAGAAGTCCATTTCTATTCCTGTTCTTCAATGACTTGCAAAAGAGTTTAAAGATTAAGTCACACTAAAGAATTTATGTCAAAAGAAATGGCACACATGTAGCTAACTGTATCATATTAAAACCAGGGACCATCTTTCATCTCAGAACTCCTGATACAGACCCCCACCCGAAAAAAAGTCAACAAACTTGATTTATATAGGGATACCCAACCAGTTTCAGCTGCACAGCAAATAACTAGGACTTCAGTAATACACTCCATATAAAGTTGAAATGTTACTGTGTTTTTAATGCTTAAGAACATGGCATAGTCTACAAATATCTTACCTGGGATTTACTACAAGTCTATCAGTTGGACATACTTTATGTTGTCAAATACTGAAACCAGAGGGAGAAGTATTCATATTTCTCCTTTATCCAAGGCTGGACTTTCAAGTTTGCACCTCTTCTCAGCTGTTTCTGATTAAATCTCAATGTCCCATTTAACTTCAAATATGGAAAACAAAAACTCTATGATACAGCACTTCAAATTCCTACAAAAGAGTGTGTAAAAGGCATATCTACTGCCAACTAAGCAAGATCATTCCCCATTTACTGGTAATCAAGTATGAATCAAGATAGAGAAGTTGATCTCTGAGGCTTTCACATTTGTCTTAGAGGAACTTCAAATCCTGCTCCAGAAACACAGCAGCTGTGTCACACTTTCCTTTTATCCTTTGTATTATTCCAGTGAAGTCATCTTTTTAAGTGAGATAGAAGCTCTTTGTCCCCCTCCACCATCTGAAGTTCTTCTCCTCCTCCACCAAGAAGAGCATGCATGAGTAGATTTCTTTTCCAGCATTAGAGAAAGCTTTTCTGGAGCCAACTGGGGCTTGCTGGCCAGGGATGTGTGGTCTGTGCTCATCAAGTATGTTTCTTTTTCTTGCAAATTAACTGCTGTTAGCCATTCCTGTTGAGGCTCATTTGTCACTTCCACATACTCTACCAGATCCCTTAAAGGTCTGTTGTATCTTAGAGCTAGTCCTGGACCAAGTTTTTCTCCTTCAGTCTATCCTCACCCCTGTGTGATCTCATCCACTCCCACAGCTTCAGACATCATCCATGAGCCAATGACTTCCATAGTTATAACTCAGCCCTGACCTCTTTTCCGGACTCATTTTGTAAATGCATTCAAGATTTTTCTTTTCCTTGGCTATTGTGCAGGCATCGCAAATGTATCAAAACTGATCTCTGATTCTCTCCCGCTTTCCCACTAAGTGTTCCTGTCACTCTTTATGATCTCAATTAATAGCATCCCTTTCAACCTTTTGCTCAATCAAATCAGTGACCTGGGGATCTTCCACCATACCATTCTCTCTCTTACCCAGTCCATTATTAAGTTCTTTCCATTCCACCTTCCTCCCTCATTTCTCGGAGTTCTATCCATTTCCCTCCATCTCCATGGACAGCTGCTTAGTCCAAACCCCTTTCCATCTCTTTTCACGTACTAGCCAGAGTTTTAAGAAATGAAATTTGCAAATGGGGCCAGGTGTGGTGGCTCACACCTGTAATTACAGCACTTTAGGAGGATAAGGTGGGAGGACCACTTGAGTCCAAGAGTTCGAGACCAGCCTGGGCAACATGGCAAGATCCTGCATCTACACAAAACTTAAAAAAGAATTAGCTGGGCATGTAAGTCCTATCTACTCAGGAGGCTGAGGTGGAAGGACTGCTTGAGCCCAGGAGTTCAAGGCTACAGAGCTGCAGTGAGCTATAATGACGCCACTATACTCCAGCCTGGGTGAAAGAGCAAGGCCTTGTCTCTAAAAAGAAAAAAAAAAAAAAAAAAAAAGATGCTCCATTTAAGTTCTTTGCTAACTATCACACTTCCTTGTTCCTTAAATCCTCATCGTTTGCCTACATTTTTATTGTCTGCCTCTCCCTACTAGGATTTAAACTCTGAGAGCAAAGATTCTGTAGTATCATGTTCACTGTGTTATCTTGCAGGTCTGGAGAGTGCCTGGTACAGAAGCAGAAATCAGTTTCCCCTATCTCATCCACATATACTTACATACTTCTCTATGAAAACATGTTGGCCTATAAAATGAGAGATGTAAATACATTAGTGGGTGTTTTTGTTTGTTTGTATTAAAAGGTAGAGAAACAGTATTTGTTTCACCTCACTAAAACATGTGGTTTTCTTCCCTCTAAGTGCACTCCAGAGTATGATTTCTCTTACTGTCATCAACCAGTTCTTTTAAAAAGGAGAGATTCGTTGTGCACAATGAGGAAACATCCAAGGACAATAACGCAAATATTTAGAGTAAAAGCAAGGTGTAGTTCTGACTTGAACTGTGATAGGAGATTAAACACAGGCCCACCTCTACTTCTGGCTGGAGCTATGTTTAAACATGTGCCAGAGGCCAGGCGCGGTGGCTCACGCCTGTAATCCCAGCACTTTGGGAGGCCGAGGTGGGCGGATAACGAGGTCAAGAGATCGAGACCATCCTGGCCAACATCGTGAAACCCCGTCTCTACTAAAAATACAAAAAAATTAGCCAGACTGGAGTGTAGTGGCGTGATCTCGGCTCACTGCAACGTCTGCCTCCTAGGTTCAAGCAACCCTCCTGCCTCAGCCCCCCTCTAGTAGCTGGGATTACA